AGATAGTCATCTTAGACACCTATCAACCAGTGAATGGCTCTTTTTTTCAGTCTTAGCCAGAGCTAGGAATGATATACACTTCAATCTACAATCACCCATTCAGACAAATCATGCAAAATTTCCCAACAGCAGTGCAATAAGAAAAACGCTGCAAAAGCACACAAAACACAATGGAAATAGGAGAAACGACAACGGAAATACCAGAAACACTTCCCTTGTGCTTTTGGAAATTTGTTTTTTCCTATTTCTGTTTTCTTTTTTCCTATTTCCCTTGTCGTTTTTCCCTATTTCCGTTGTGTTTTGTGTGCTTTTGTTTCCTTAAGTTGCGGTCTGTTTGGCCTCTCTGGGCCACCGTATATCCACCTGCTGAATACTGTCTTGAGACTGTGTAGTCCCAAAAGGACTTGACAGAGAGGCTTAACAGAACCTGAACAGCTTTATAGCTCGAGCTCAGGAAATAAAATAAAAAATGACAAGAAAAGCAACCTAAACTGAAAACTAGAACTGATGACATAACAGAGCAAACAGGGCACAACTGAGGAGGCAATGACGACGAGATGACAACAGAGGAAAAGTTAAATACACAACATAATGAGAGGATGGACACGAACAGGGGAACAGACATGAAAATTTTTAAAACTATATTAGCATGAATACATTACTGATAGTTTAGGGTGAAGTAACAGTTATCATCAATATCAGTTGTCATGATTTCACCAATAGATGTAATCAGAGGGGAATATTCAGAAAGTGTTATTGCAGAAACCTTGTTTTATTAATTAATTAAGCTTATATGAAATGCTTATGAAAAACTGATAATTTAGCTGTTATCTGCATATCCCTACAATCATCTACCCGCACACAACTATGCAAAAGCCTTATTACAGAACGCACCTGGGTTTTCCTTTTTTTGACCCAGAATGGCAGATTTCTTAACTTCAAAATAATAAATGAAAATCACGAACTGCCACCATTCTTCTTTCAGTAACAATATCCACTGCACAAGTGTTCGATTCACTGATTCACTCTTCATTGTGCTACCTCAGCTAGCCACCATGTGACCAGCTGCCTATGACCTGCGTACGTCACGCAGACGGTTTCTCACTAAAACAGGAAACTACTCAGCACAAAGTCAGAGTCACTCAGATGGAACAAGGACTCTGTGTGTGCTGTAAAGCTGGCCAACATTTATTAAGGTAAATTTCAAATGAGATCATTTTCAAACATCTGACTCTTTAAAAAGTAAATGTTGCGAATAGAAAGGCGGTATCCAGGCAGCAAGTTGATCGCTGTGTGTTTTTCTGTGCGTATCAGTCTTTGCATTGCCCGGGGCATACCTGTTCTTTCCAAAGAAGTGCCTGAGATGTATTAAACATCAAAGAGGCCATGCAGACCTGGGCATCTCTTTGATGTCATCTGTGTCACCTGCTTTCTTTTCTGTACATGTTTATGTGTGTGCATGCTTCGGACCTGTTTAGCATGACGGCATCCTCCTTATAGAGTCATCACAAGCACATCTATGGACACTTACGAGTGTTCGTGGCAGCTATAAAATCTATTCATGACAGGCTGTCCTGAGGATAAAGAAGGAAAAGCTCACAAGTATACAAGTATGCAGAGCTTAGGGGCCAACCATGATGTAACACGAGGGTGCACAGAGTAGCAGTTATGGATATTTGCGTGCATGCAAAGCTTTTACACCCGTGCAAACACAATTTTTCTCTCAGTGGACATGTCTAATATTGCACAGTTTGCACCGAGGGGTGAAGTGGTTCAAAATAAGTTCTGACACCTTCTTTGAGCGCTAGCCAGACATTTCAGAAGCTTCTGGAGTTCCAGTGAAGCTGTGTTTGTTCAAGGTACTTCATCTTTGTCCACAGATCTAAATTTACAAGACACAGATCTAGTTCTCCGGGTGGCTTGCATGCATGTGTGCCAACGTGCACACACACTTTGTGATTTGTCCGTCCCTTTAGGACTGTATATTTTTAGAGTGTGGGTAGTATTCTGACCTTTCATTGGATCTATACATAATGCTAAAGGATTTCAGGATGATTGTTGTTTACTCAGGTAACTAGGCTAGTTCATCTTATCACCATGCCTACTTTACATTACTTTACTTTACAAGAAATTAAGACAAGTTCAAGTAAAATAATCTAGAGCGACAATTCAGCCAATGGAGCGGCTACGATGTCCCGTTGACAGGATCCAATAACGAGTTGCGTGAGATGGTGATTGTTCAAAAGCTATGCTAGAACAGGAAAGAGGATCAGTGTATAGTTCACGGTTCAATTGTCTGTAATAAATGAACAGAGGTAAATGTTGAGATCCCCAAAGGTCGTGGATGTTCTTTTCTTTTCTGTGAAGCATGGACGATGCTTTCTGGATGGGAAACCAGGTTATAACGTATTCAAAGTGCTTTATGAGAAGGCAAACAAGGAA